GTATTTTTAGTACCATGCTGTATGCCCTGAGCAGTATGCTGTTTTTGACCTATGAAAAGCTAAACACAAAAGCATTGGCAAGCAAACTGAGTAGATACAAATGTATATGTGATCAAGTTCTAGCGAATCACATATCCTTAGAGATATTCGATCAATATGTTTTTAAACTTTTTATACGTCAGTAGGTGTGACTTATCAGATACATTATTCTGAAGAAAAACAAATTTAGTGCTTGAATTGACATTTTTTGCAAATGAAACTGTGTTTCCATCCTACTTGTTTAATAGCTCATACTTCATGTATGTTTTAAAGAAAAGTATTAACAGGTTGTATACGGATATATGTTTTAAGATATCGAAAATCATATGCATGCAAACGTTAACACAAGGATCATTGCTTTTGATTTCTGTAAATAAGAGACTTATAAATAACACAAAGACATAAACATGTGCATTATGTACACATGTGCATGTATATGTCATTATTTTTTCCAGATTGTGTATTTGTATTTCTTTGAAAAATATGATGCATAATTTCGGTTTCCCTTGCTGGTTGTACAGCTCAGTATTTGCGTCCTGTTTGACATTGAAATGTTTGTTTGTATATTTCTGAACACTTATGCTACATCGTTCTTTAAAAACACAAATGTTGCTAAGCAACGTTCTTACCCCCGTAACAAATATGTTATTGTTCCCGCAGATAAAGCCAAAAATAAGATCGATATTGTGTGTAAATCACATTACGTACTAAACTGCTTGATAAATGAATTCGGATTTGGCAATCCACTTTGAAACTCAACAAATACACGACACTTACCAAAGAGGAAAATAAATCCTGAATAATCATAGGTCTGTTCTATTTTCCTTTGAAATTTCAACCAAAGATGCACAATTGGATGATTCTTTACTGTATTGTATACTTGATTTGCATTATAAAAATTAACACTGCGAATTTGTCATTTACAATGTGAACAATATTAATATTTTCATTTTTATTTCAAAGTCATCTTAACATGCTTAATGTGGATCATTGGTATATATTTCCTCAGATAGAGAATTCTTATACTTGCAAGAATTTAGATTTTCCATGCTTTTTTCAAAAATATAATAAAAAGTATGGGTCACCGTGCTATTTTTTAAGCTACAAGTCGTGCAAAATTGCCCAAATTTCCTTAGATTGTTCATGAAAAAACAAATTTTTGTGAATAAAACGAAATCTATGAGATAGAATTTTGTCAGTTTTGAGTCATACAGAAAAAAAAAGTTATTTTTTCAGTTTGTTTTTGACTTGTGAGTTTGAATGTCCCTCTGGTATCTTTCGCCTCTCTTAAAATAAAATATGAGAAGATAGGTTTTAAAATATGCTTTAAGAAAATAAAAATAAAAAATGGTGTCACCGAACTTGTTTTCTTGCTACAAGCAAAAATTTCGCTATCATTCCTTTATAAAAATGTTACTATTTGAGTTATCTCCCCTTAAATGGTTAATTTGACAATTTGATTCTAACAAACACAAATATTTGGTATTTGATAAATCAGTCTGTGATAATGCAACAAATCACTTTTGGTTTTGTTCCAATAAACAGTCTAATCTAACCCATTGATTGCCAATCTGCCTCAAAATGAAGATTTAAGCAAAGAACTAGACATATAGCGAACTGCTATTTTGCAATCCAAAATGGCGGTATACAGTTAATCTACCTTAATATAAAAAATTTCATGATAAATTGATTCAAAGACAATTCTTGGTTATAGTATATGTTATAGATAAAACAGACCAACCGACTTAAAATTTAAGATAAAAAGGTGTATGAAACACACGATTTTAAATTGTTTTTTTTTTTTTTTAGATGTTGTATAGATATGATCCAAATAAACTCCGCAAGATGACATTATAAGTCGGTGTTTACCAGACCATCTTATGAGTAACCAGGATACAATCTAAAGCGGATGTATAACTATATTCTGGCACTTAATCCCACCTTACTTATTTGATATAAAAATAAAGAGATGTGTGTATGATTGCCGATGAGACCTATCCCTCAGAGACCAATTTATGTCAATCTAACAACTACAGTTTACTCTAGACATTCAACATTGAGTAAACCCCAACCTGTATAGCAAATTAAAAGAGGCTACAAATGAAAAAATGGAAAGAATTCAAACTAGATAAACCAACGTTCTAATTCTTCTCAAAATTAACCACCAGAAACTTTAGTAGGTTAATAAATTAAGTTAATTTGATAATGGCTGACAAATCTTTTTAGTTGATAATTGTACTGTTGAAATTGTAAATTGTAAATTTAAACTTATTTACACTTATTCAATGTGTTCTTGTTTTATCTATACGAGCAAACGATAACAGCAAATACTAGTTAGTGCTAAAATAGGACAGCGCATATAAAGTATGCTTAACGTTAATATAAAATTGTGTGAATAAGAAGAATTACACATAATGTAAATTAAAATACTCACGATAATTTGATAAAACACAAAAAAAGGAGAAGTCCAATCCCAAGTTCTTGTGAACAAGAAGCCCATTTGGCCCACTTATTACAATTTAAGGAGTCAGATGAGGACCGGGGTAAAGTTGTTTTCATGTTAAATAGTTACGATACTGAATCTAGAAAAAAATAACTTTTTTTCTGTATGACTCAAAATTCCAATTCATAGCTGCATGCTAATTTTTGTTGTTTTCTAACAACAAGATTTATGATATAAACCATAGACATAACAACCAAACGATAAAAAGTGTCATATCGGTACTAGTGAAAAGAAGCACAAGAAACAACAGGAATATTCATATTCATAAATCGAAGACAATCAACTAACAATACAATGGCACCCGTCGTGTTGCTCATGTAACTTCAAATTCAGAGATAAGTCATATTCGGGGAAAAGTGGACGGGGGTGTGGTGAAGACAATTAGAACATAACCATCGTCATCTGTGAAACTTCCTTACTGGTCAATCAACTTGTGATGGTGGTCGTACAAATGCCGAAGTAATGACTTCAACTTTTTTCCTTGGAACCCTTAGTTTAAAGCTTACTTGTTAACAGCAGCTCTCTATAAAGGAAATTGTGATAGGAAATGCAAATTCTGGAATATCGTATCAGCTGGGACAAATATACTACATATGCAGGCGCTGTTTGAATGTTGCTACAGAGAAATGGAAAGTTCACGTTTTAAAGATGAAAGCATCACTTTTGTCGTAAATATTTGTTCTCAACCGACCCTCATTGACAATTTTTAGATGAAACTCAATATATGAAGCAGAGTTGTTTCTTTGTTTTCCTCTTATAGTTGATGTGTTTCCCATTGGTTTTAGTTTGTAACCCGGATTTGTTTTGTCTCAAATCGATATCCTTTATTTCAATCTTCATGGTAAACACAGCATTCTTCCTAATAAGGCCTTAAACAAGTATAAAAAAGGAACACGTCGGCAAGAAGACTGTCAGTTTTAGAGAATTTATTATTTGCATTAGATTATGGTTTTTTTCAAAGTATGATTTATCCTTCCCTAAAACAAGATATTTGTATCTACGTAGGGCATTCTTTTTTATGAAACATAATTGGACCAATTCCTTCAATCTGTCTTTAGTTTTGGAATGAATAATACTTGTGTAAAGGCAATTAAAGTCCAATGTTTTTATACTATTGCAAGATGAAAGAAATTTGGGTTTTATGTACCAGATCTTCGGGATTTGTAGTATCTACATCGGATTCACACAATTCATAGAGTATGTAGATTCACAATAACTCTGAAGCCCGGTTTTGATTGTTGATGAAAAAAAACAATTTTATGTGCCGTGTTTGTATAAAGAAAGAATTAAACGAGCGATGACCTCTCTTCAGCTGATAATAGACTAGGATACAGCATTAAACATCGGCTGTACCTACCGAATGACTGATGGAGTTACCAAATTAAGATAAACTACAAGACATCTTATATAAAGACAGTGATCAAATTACATTCGGCAATATATTTATTACATGCAAATATCAAGACTTCTATTAAGTTAACATGTAGTATATCAACAATTTAATATAAACACAACACAAATTAATAAAATTGGCGTAGCATAGGGATCGTTGCTATGTAATTGAATCATTGACAAGAGCTCGAGGCATAATTCGAAGAATACTGCGTTACTTCAAAATACCTCTCTATGCGTGACATGTTGAGCCCTGGCCAAGCCCATGTTAAACGAATGTAACTCGAGTATACCTTCGTTTTAATTTATTCATGTATCGGCATGTTTAACACAGCTATCCTAGCCTTATAGTGTGCTTACTTTGATTGAAAAAAAAACATTTGAACACAAAACATGTATACAAAATGAACTTTTAAATTGATCAACAAATGATTCGTTCTCCCGATAAAATAATTGCCTAGTTACCCGTTTTACCCAGGGCCTCCTGAGAAAAAAAAGAGGCAAAAGATACCAAAGGGACATTCAAACTCAAAAGTCGAAAATAAACTGACAACGCCATGGCTAAAAAAAAAGACAAACAGACAATTGATAGTACACAAAACACAACATAGAAAACTAAAGACTGAGCAACATGAACCCCATCAAAAACTGAGAACCCAGAAAATAATTTTGTTACTCGTAAAAAATGTGTGAAATCAACTTTTGTATGCCCAAAAGAAATAAGTTACGTATTGTTGATAAGTTGCATTCGTGTGTACAGTAAAAAAGAACAGCTATTCGGACACCAACATCAAATCATCTATTACAACATTGAAATTGAAGGTTCCAACATTTTCAGAATTATTTTTTGAAAATGAATTCTGAAATTTCTTAAATTCTTAGTCAAATATTTTGTCAATATGTCAGGTGTTTAAATGCATAAATGTAGCTGGAAAAGTCATTAGTACTAAATTATTTTGTGTAAAAAGATATATTACCTAGCGAACAGCTTAAATACGTTACCAAAAATAGATTTTTAAAATTATTTAACAGGTAAATAGCATAACACTTGGCTTTTCTATAATGATTGGTGTATGCACTGGTGTGTTCAAGACTTCCTTAAAGTTTCTAGATTAATATTAAATCACAGTTTTCCTGTCTTGATCTTGATTCACATATTTAAAGGAGTGTAAGGTTGTATTAACCTGAAATGATGACTTCCGGAATTACTTTTGTTGTTTTATTTGTTGCATTTACTTTCTATTTCATAAATGGTATGTAAATCATCAATATGACTGTTTCTAATTATTAATACCCGAGCTTTATTATATCATTCAATATATCAATCAAAATGTTTTGCGTTATCTTAAATGCTGCGTTTAAAACTATTTATGTTGATTGGCCAAATTTGATTCTTTAATTCTAAGCTCATCTATGCAAATGCTTTTTTAAGACTATAACACAATTAAGAAGACCCTTTTACAGGCAAATTGTTAGAATTGAATACAATGTCTAAAGACGAGTTTAACTTTTGCCGAAATTGGCTAAGACATAACATCATGAGAATTGTTACGATTTGAGATTTGCCCGTTGTTGAAGGCAGTAAGATCACATATAATTTTTCACACCTTTGACCTTAGGTCTTTATGGATTGTTGTTTCATTTGCTATCATACCACATCTCCTTATTTTCATATCAATCAATGAGTCAACACTTCAGGTCATCGGCGTTTCTCTTTTTGAATTGTGTTGGAGGTTTTGTGTAACACTCTCAAATGTAATATTTTTTTCATCAACAGCCGCCGAAGACATATCCAGTTTTTCTGTAACGAACGTGTCTCTTTTTTGTTTTTGTTTGCCAAAACCTGTCTGTTTTTATTTCACGTCCAAACATTTCCATATCATGTTGATAGATAATTCGATAAATACTCATTCAAATATTCTCTATATATATGAATGGAAAAGTACCAGTGACCTTCCACATATATGATCTTTATTTGAGATTACGAATCTAAAAAAATCGTTATCACTTACAATTAAAATTTGTGATAACGAATTTGTTCCTTTATTTCGCATTAAAATCGTGGTAACTAATGCTTAATTTTTTTGTCATGAACCATACAATAACGATTTTAATCCGACTTTTTATATTCGTAATCTTGAATTTAAATTATATATTTTTGGCAGGTCCTAAATGGGCTTTCATCCCCCTGGAGACTCTGATTTAAGATACAAAATATAAATATATAATTCGTGACTTCGGAGACCATTGTGAAGCATTCTAAAATTCGTGATAACGATTTCTCAATTTCATGATAACAAATGAAATTTGTAAGAACTAATTTCTTAGTTTCGTGAACACGAATTCAATCTTAATAACGAAATACAAAGTTCATATTAACGAATTTAATTCGTTTTAACGATTTATTATTTTGTTTATCTGAAATTCAAATTATGTTTTACGGAGATCCTGAATTATCATCCTTGATCAAATTCACATCCTGGTGCAAAATGAACATTTGAATCGCATTATTTATCCTGAAAATCAGCTATCATACATTGATATTAATATTTCAATTGACTCTCAATGTCAAAATTTTAAAATTGAGAATTTTCTACTTTTCAATAACATTTATGCTTTTGAAGAATACTTTTATTGCAATTTTTGATGCAACGCGTATTTTTGTCAAATAAGAAGTTTATCATGCATGACCAGGCGATGGACTTGATAACCACTCTGTTTGGTTTAAAGACAAGTTGTGAAAACGATTCTGAGCAATAAATCGTCACCGTTGATTGTAGTTTCTGGTCACGGAATACATTTGTTATGACAGATTGTTATAATTCGTGTTATTGGTGAAAACAGATAAAATTCGTTATCACTATTTCTCAAATTTACGAAACCGAATTCAATTCGCGCACGTGCAGTCGTAGATATAAGATAAAAATAAAATTTTGGAATGACTTACGATTGTCGTCGGCAAATCAAAATATCAAAAACATTTGAAACATCAATGTAAAGGAAATATTTGACAAAAAAATCGGTGTACATGTTTTAATCTTTCAAATTGTAGGTGAAATTTGCGACGAAGATGCTGCCAGTGAATATGTTTGTGATATGGGATCCTGTTGTAAAAAGAATGGTATATGGGAATGTATTTATGGCGAAAAGGATTCTTCTGAATGTGAAGAGTAAGTGAATTTCATTTGAAGCGTTTAGATTTTTTGTTGGATTTGTGTTGTTCAGTCTTTCGTATTTTGTGTTGTCAGTTTGTTTTTGACTTATGAGTTTTAATTTCCCTTTGGTTACTTTCGCCTCTCTTTGGAGTCATTTTTACTGGTCAATTCAAAACAGGTCTGGTAGTTACAGAAAACTTGACAATTTAAACAAAGATGAGTAAATTTCATAGCTATGCTAATGTGTTTAGCATTCGAAAAAAAAAATTCTTTACAAAAATGTTTCATGTGGTATTAATGGGTAGATGCCCCCTTGAACAACCAGATTAAAACATTTCAGATGAACCTCAAGTCAATGTTCTTTACTGGACTCCTAAAATAGATTTTACTGCATTATAGAGTTCAAGAGAATGAGAGTTTCACATAACAATAAACTTGTTTATATTTCAAGGTTATTATTTATCTTCATATCATATATTATAGAAAGCAGTAAAGGATGGACATTTTATATCTAGTACCACGTTTGAACAGTATTATTTCAAAACCACTATTTGCATATTTTCAAATTGTTATTTTATTTTCATTCTTTAAAAAGAAGAATGCATTAGAAGCTTGCTACACTGAAATTAACAAAATGCAATTTTTGCTCATACGGATAATTAAAAATTCGGCAAACAATTATCTGAACAAGCTCTTTCCTAACAACTATTTGCAGAATGTTCCACGTAGTTCTTTGGGTGATACATTTTTTCGAAATCTACTTCTTTTCCGCAACTTTGTTTTCGAACTTGCCTGCGTTATTGACTAGAACATTCTCTTGTGATTAAATAATCATCATTTACCATGCGGAAAGTACCAAACATTGAGGAGTTCCATACATTATATGTCAGTGTTTGTAAAGGTAATATTGTTTTGTTTCTTGATATCCCAATGTGTTGAGCTCCAAAACTATATATGATATAAACTTGACGTTTTTCATGTTATATAATGACCATATATAGTGTTCTGTTCAAATTATGTAACACAAAAACAAACCTACCGGCAAGATCGAAAATTTATTTTTGAGATTATAACTCCAAAACATAAATTGATTGAAACTAAATGACTTATGATCTGTTTTGTTTAAGATATTTCTATTAAAGACCCATTTCTTGCATTGTTATAACATTAACTGTACCAATTTTACTGCATCAGATGCGCATTTCGACAATAAATGTCTCTCCAGTGATGATCAAGGCCAAAATATTTAAAAAACCAAAACTTACAAAACATTTGCCCTTATTGGGCTGGGGAGAGATGATACATATTTAATGGATGGATGCTTCATGTTTGTTAGACCAAAAGCGTGTTTAATTTAGATGTATGTTTATGTTTATTATTGCAACAAAGCACTAACTGGGCTCAAAAAGGCAAAAAAAAAATTTTTACTATACTACTCAATATATGACTATCTTGTCCTTTTCTTCAAACATTCAATTGAAATATTCTTTCAAGCATGGAGTATGAACACTTTTTGTGTACCATCCTTACACTTTATTACTTATATATATAGTATTGATTTAACAAATCAAACCGTTTATATTTTCAGAACTAGTAAGACATCTGGTTGGTAGGTACATTTTTTTTGGTTACAAACGATAAATAATTTGTGTCTTAGAAAACGAAAACGAATAGAATAAAATATTTCAGACTCAGAAAATAACAACAAACATCTAGCTTTTAGCATTCTGTCATAAATATACGTCTTTTAACTTTAAACATATGCAGTTAACTGAATTTTTCTGGATAAACAGCAATTTTATATCGAATAACGTACTTTTATATCTGTGTGTTTTACTAAGTTATTTTTAAAATATATTTCAGGCAAACATGGCACACCATTCTCACTGTAGTTGGTGGTCTATCCTTCTTGATGGCAATTGTCGGCTGCTGTGTAAGAATGAATCGCTATAGTAGAGCAGTACCAAGACGCGATGACGAAGAACGGTTTGCTAACCAGGAAGTGCGCTCATAATAAATCAACGGTAGATGGTAGAACAAATGATAGAACAATGGGCAAGCAATGGTTGCCAAAACTTTTTGACAAAAATCCCTTTGCCTCCAAAAAAAGTTTGTTCTATCACAATTTTGAAAGAAAAAATCAGTTTTTAATCATGTTATCTGAAATGTGAATATTCAACGATGAGTAATATTGTATATATATGTGAGATGTTTTACTAATATATTCCTTTGAGAAACCTCTACTTGAAGTCGATTTTCTAATTCAATAAAAAGTCTATGAACGTAATTAAATTTTTATCATAACTAAACTTTGATGGAACACGTAGCAACAAACTTGTCTAATTTGAAACTAATTGTTATATACGCATTTATACTAAATAATAGTTTTAACTGAAAACATAAACTTCAAATGTAAATTAAAGAGATTTGATTGGTTTAGAACGGTAAAGACTTTTATCAAGTTAAATGAAGCCGATGTACTATAGTATTATAATTGATTGACATATCTCTCTTTATCAACGAAAAACAATATAAACAACAACAAAAAACAACACAAAAACAACTTGTTTATAGGACTTAAATGTCTCTTGCCGTCTTTATCACCATGTATTTGGTAAAATATGAGCAAATTCACAAATGTCGTTGGAAAATATCAATATATCTTATTAGAACTTTGAGCTATTGAACGAAAATCAAAAATCTCTTCCTTCGTAGAAGTATTAACTTATAATTTAAACTAACTGACAGGAAACGATATTCAAACATTAACTTTAAACTCGTTTGCACACCTATATATGTACAGTTATAAGAAGAACATACTATTTTTCCTCATGTCTATTGTTTCTCAAAAATTTTCATTTGTAAAGTGATTGGTGTATCATTTTTAATATAGGGAAAGTGTTCTTTTTTTATTTACTTTCTCCTGTTCATTGACGCTTTGTTTTACCATTACAGCAATAAATGAAATCCTACGAATATGTATTTCTCGATTTTTCTTGATTTTTTTGTGTATCGTTTTGTGATAGATCTTTTTTTGCCTATTGTATTAAAATTGACAAGGAAAGTAAGAAGGAAAATGTCTACGTCATAATGAAATTCATGAAAGGACTTAATTTTTGACAAAAAAAAACATTTTACAAATAGCTATATAATAAAGTCTCACTGAGCTTATCGTACTTTTTAAAGCAGCTAAACAGGGAAGTAAATATTTAACTAATATGTAAAATATATAATAAAATGTACTTTAATAACAGGATGTAATGTAACATTCAATCTTGCATATCTAATAACATGCTTTAAGTTAATTGTGTAAAACTTAAATCAGGTTTAGCTTGAATTCATACATGGAATATATTTTTATTCCTATCGTATCTTTCATTCATATCATGACGTTTAAAAAATTATATAAACTGTTTGCAATATCATAAAAAAGACACTTATTAAGTTAATTTTTCTTAAATAAAACAAGGAGACATAATATGATAAAAATCACACAAACATTACAAAAAAAAATACAAAAAATAGCAGGTGGTCATCTTCAGGTAACCGATCGCCATCAACATAGAGAACAGACCAACACAATAAAAGCCTAACAACGGAAAGATGCATTATGCAAAAAAGTCATGATTTTCCTCGCTGTTATATATTTATCAATTATGGACACTTTGGACTAGGTCGATACGTTATAAATGAAGCTGATCAGATTAAATTGACCGAGGACGAAGTCCGAGTCTCAATATGATTTAACAGGTCGACATATAACGTATTGACTGAGTGAAAGTCCTTAATTTATATATTACATATGGAAATAGTGTATCATAGAAATGGACTTCAATGCTCTCTCTGTGTATTTTACATTGTATTTTGCAAGATTTCTAATATTGACCGTCAATAAATATATATATATATATATATAGAAACATAGCGTTCATATACTTGAAAATAGAAACAAGGCTTCAGGTACTTGAAATACCCTTTGAATCACGTGATCGTAAAAACCAATGAAAAAAGAAGAATGATACACAATATGTAATATTTATATTATGCATTAACGCTAAGACTCATGTCGACGTTCTCATTATATTACAGAACATGTGCACCAACTTTAACTAATTTATTGCGGCTTCAGGCTGAAACTTTTCAAATAACAAATATGATGTTGACCCCGGTGACAAAGAAGAAAACAATATTTTTTTGTAAAGCACATTTTATTTATTGTTGAGAAATGAGTTAGGAGTTGGCAATTTATTTTGATATTGTTGAGAAATGAGTTAGGAGTTGGCAATTTATTTTGAATTTCAACATATTACCTCGTGTCGGGGTGGGGTGGAGGGGGCACTTCAATATTTAATTGAGAGGGAATTCTGTTACACCACCCTTTTCATATAATTTAGATTTTTAAAATGTATACCTTTTCATATATTGGTTGGGTTTCGTGTGGTGTATTGGAAAATTGGAATACCAAGTATCAAAAGAGGGAACATTTGTGGATAAAAATACAGCCGGGAACACCAAGAAAGATGACAGACGAAGAAGAATTAACAAAAAAATACAGGTCTTTTCTTATAACAAGTAATGGGAACGTTGTTGAACTTATCATATATTTTTGATAGTTTTCCCCACCTATTCACATATTTTCAATATATAGGAAGAGACCCCCGAGCATATTCCCCACCGACAATTTCAGTCCTTACATACATTGTTATATAAATGGGTCTGCAAAGTGTTCCACAAAACATCTTTCAATTCTGACTTTTTTGATGCATCTCTATCTTGGTCTTCTCATATTGATTATATCATAAAAAGGGTTAACTCTTCTTTAGCTTTACTAAAAAGGATAAAGAAATATTTAAATCACAAAGCTTGACAAATGTTCTATAACGCTTACGTTTAACCTCACTTAGATTATTGTTGTTCAATATGGGGAAACTGTTATAACTTTCTATTAGATAGTTGATTAAACTGCAAAAGAGGGCAGCAAGAATAATTTTAGACGAACATGATTACACCAAACCTTCAAGCGAATTATTTCACGAATGTAACATTGTGCCGATTACACAAAGAATAAATTATCATAAATCATTACTAATGTATAAGGCAAAACATGGCTTAGCTCCAGAATATATGTTCAGTCTTATTTTATCAGCTTCTGCAAACTAAAAATACAATACGAGATTTTCGTCCTCAGATAATTTTATAATTCCAAAACCAAATACAGAGTTGTATAAGTCTAGTTTCTCGTACAATGGACCAAAAGTATGGAATGCTCTTCCTGATTCAATTAAAAAATCATACACAGTATTAGAATTTAAACATAACTACAAATCTATGTACTTTTTATATTACCATGATATTTGTACTGTAATGCCATATATAATAATTGTTTATTGTGTTTAAATTGATTTACATCTTTTTTTATCATTATTATTGAATATGTATTGCTTATTTTAATGTAATTATTATTGTATTAAGAGAGCCTTATTGAAAATTGGTGTAATCAAAATGAGTTACTCTCTCTAAATAAAGATATTATTATTATTATTATTATTATTATTATTGTTGCTGTTGTTGAGCACCGGAAGCGGAAATAGGTCGCTGAAAAGTAGTATTTCACTGAAACTTGCATTTGAAGTCTCAAAATCTGCGATACGGAAAAACTGAGGATGTGTGTTTTAGAAAACAAAGCACTGGGGGCGTCTTTTTCTGCCTGCTGGAAATATATTATGTTTCGGTACCTTCTGTGCAATAAATTATTTGGTGCTAACAATTCTCATAAAAGAGATTTGGTTATTTTACTTACGTGATATTTTCTTCTTCGCTTCAAAGTCGCTAACCCGTGTCTAATGTCGCATGTAGAGCTCTACACGGTGAATATCAACTTTCTGAAATGGTTTGACCAGTCACCATTTCTGCATCTATAACTGTTTAGATTGTCAAGATATCATTGAATCATTTATTATTTAGAGAGATCGGAATTAAAGTAAACAACTTTAATCTACATACCATAAGAATCAATCATGTAAAGTTGTGTATGCATAAGTTGAACGGTTCATTGAAAATATCTTTAAACAAAATTACGAATGAATGACGCCACGTGATAATACGAGCTCGTATTAGTATGACCAGATGAGCTAAAATATATTAATATATTCCTCAAAACCTAATTTTGAAGAATAAAAACTAATACATAAAAAAAAAGTAAGTGACCTTAAAAATATGAAACCAAAATATTGACACCGAGAGACTTATTCCTTCAGCAGTTTTATCAATATATACCAACCATTTTTAAAATAACGGGTCAATGCCACAAATGCTACAATTAAACGATTCCCTACGACGTCATTTCAGTTAATTATGACCTTAAAACTCTTCGAAATGTTCAAATGAGTTTTGACCGAAAAGTTTAATATTTAAGTACTTAACATTGTATGGTAAAAGTCATACTCTACTAGTGCATACATCAATAATAACAGAAAAAGACTTGTAGTGTATTTGGAAAACTTGCTGTTTTATGTTTTTCAAAAATTAGATGATCCTTCCGAAATAATTATTTCATTGCGTTGTCTGTTTATTTACAACTCATGAGTTTGAATGTCTTGATATCTTTCGTCCCTGTTTTAAGGATGTAAATTATATTTATTCTTGTTTCACCGCTTTCCTGGATAATATTGCAGATTTTTATATAGCTGCAATTTAAAAACAAAAGGTTTGTACAAAAGTTTGGAATATATTGGTTAATCTTGCACTTGCAAGATTTTTTGACCTGAAACAAAAAATTGATATGTTTAACTCATATATTTCCCAACCTGGTCGACGTTATGTATAACTGGTAAGGTATAAAATAAGAGACTCTGATACCACCAATTCCTTGAAAGGTGGTATAATTTGATATATATTATCAACGAGATATTTTAGATCGTTGTAATAACATCCATAATTCAATGGAATTTACATCACTAATTAATCATTATTATAGAAATCAAACTCGTAACTTATTTCAAATCTTGATGAACCAAATCAGTCAAAACAAAATAAGACAATATGATGAAACAATGTCAGTAGTCATGATAAGGAAATATCAATGTGGAAATCGCCATACAGCAGCTGACCAATAACGTTAAACTCCCTCATGAGATTTTGTACTGAATTGGTATTTTTCTTCCCACTGTACCAAAACAGCAGTTTAAATGAATCGGAAAATTATTTTTGAACATCTATGTTTATTTTATTACCTTTGACGACGTAAATAACATTTTCTATTCAATGTCTTAATTTTGAAATTTAAGAATCGAGATATAATATTGAATTCTTAATTCAAGGTTAAAAATCGAAACAAAGTATCTTGAAAAAGAAAGTTTTAAGTTCATAGTTTATTGACAAATGTTCAGAAAATTAGTCTGATAACACAAAGATTTGTCCATAGATGAATAGTTTATTTGTCTTTTTACATACTTGATGCTGTAAAATTCAGATCGCTCTGTGCAAGTTGTTTCCCTGAGAAAGGACATACATTTTTATTGGCAATGAAGTGCAAGTGAAAACAGTAAATTTATAAGTGCGTGATGTATATAATTTGTAAACCTTTCAAATATTTGAATTATTATATTTAATCTTTTGTTAAGCTAAAATCTTCTGAAGTCATGAAAACCCTTGTGCCAAAGTGGGTCGTCGGTTTGGCTGTGCGGGATGTATAAATACGCAGTCAAGTCTGGTCAGAATGGGGACGTTAAATCTGATGCCTATAGTGTAGAGAGAACGCCACGCTCTCTGCACGTTAAGAACACTTGCAACAACTCATTGAGGGGTCCGTTGTTAGTCTGCTGAAAGACAAAATTTCTGTCCCTATATATCCAATAAACCCTCATTTTCCAATTGAATTTCTAAATTTCCAGACCTTCATCCTGGACGACCCCTATTACAGGACCTAACTGTTGTATTTATTGTAAATCTGTTTTTGTCCTGAACATACATGAACT